CCCGACTACAATAAGACTGCAATAAGACTGCAATAAGACTGCAATAAGACAAACACAGCTGCCTCGCCGTTTCCCCCGGCGTGTCTCCCTTTCGCCGTTTTCTCTATTGTTTTCACTTCTTGGAACCATCCTCGCGGAGGATACCCACAAATTGCTCGTTGCGGGAGATCCCCCGCTAGCGCCATCTCTCGTGAGACAAAAATGAAACGCACGATACCAAAAGCGAATCTGCTACATTAGTAACAGAATCCTTGTATTATTGTCTTCGTATCAAGTCAATATTTTACTAAGAGATTACTATGAATCGGGCCGGGATTTAGAGAAATCATCGTATAGTCTCATCAGCGTAACGAGCGAGTAGAGTTAATGTGTATGTATAAAGTTAGTGCGTATGCATAGAGTTAGTGTGTATGTATAGAGTTAGTGTGTATGTATAGAGTTAGTGTGTATGTATAGAGTTAGTGTGTATGTATAGAGTTAGTGTGTATGTATAGAGTTAGTGTGTATGTATAGAGCTAATGTGTATGTATAAAGTTAGTGTGTATGTATAGAGTTAGTGTGTATGTATAGAGTTAGTGTGTATGTATAGAGTTAGTGTGTATGTATAGAGTTAGTGTGTATGTATAGAGTTAGTGCGTATGTATAGAGTTAGTGTGTATGTATAGAGCTAATCTGTATGTATAGAGTTAGTGTGTATGTATAGACACAGTGTGTATGTATAGAGTTAGTGTGTACGTATAGAGTTAGTGTGTATGTATAGAGTTAGTGTGTACGTATAGAGTTAGTGTGTATGTATAGAGTTAGTGTGTATGTGTAGAGTTAGTGTGTATGTGTAGAGTTAGTGTGTATGTATAGAGTTAGTGTGTATGTATAGAGTTAGTGTGTATGTATAGAGTTAGTGTGTATGTATAGAGTTAGTGTGTATGTATAGAGTTAGTGTGTATGTATAGAGTTAGTGTGTATGTATAGAGTTAGTGTGTATGTATTGTAACGATTTTGGCTTCTTTATATTTTGGGGGATGTAATTGTAGATATACTACTGTGTGCGCGTAAAGCTTGATGCAACCTTGACGTGGAGATGCAGCTTCAGCTTCATCGAATCCTCCTTGATTCATCGAGTCATCCTTGAGCTTCGGTCGTTGTGATCACGTGCACGTTTCGTGTGCCCTCTATATCACGTGATATACCACGGCTAACGGGTATATAAGGTGCCATATGACCGTTGTTAAGCACTCGACTCAGGGACGGAGTCACCGTCAGAGTCACCTGCCGCTGCACTCACGCCAGAGTCAGCGATAGCCAGCCAGAGAGGAAGGAAGAGGCACGACGCTCAAGACGACCGGCACCACAAACTTCGTATAGCGTAAAAACACTGAACTATCACGTATGTTGACCGTTATATTGTGATTGCTGGCGTCAAGTAAAGAGGCTATTGTACGTAGCCAAGTACCGTTAATACCCGTGTTGCTGCTCTGTTTGTCGTTGGTTGATCATAACGGAACGCGCCTGGCAGTAGAGGTGCACGACCCGACGTGTCGCCCCTGTGCGACGATCACGGCCTGATCTACCACCACGCCACAGGGGGTAAGCGTTACACTGGTGCCGTGACCAGGATCAACTAATCGATAACAGAGCAGCGTGCGTTTTTGGCGTGTCGTCACTGGATTTACGCTTGTCGGCCTGCCCGTCAGCATATTATCCAAATCTCACGTCGCAACGTACGAGAAACGGAAGCTGTTGCGAGGATTGTGTAGGCTCTTAGCCACTGTGCTTTTGTTCACAATCTAATTCGTATAGCCCTATGCCACGGAAAGGGCAGCGCCGTGTGGAACGTGGAGTGGCGCCTCCCAGAGATTCACGTTTTCCATTCACGTTTTCTGGTGAAGAAGGTGAATCCGTGAACGATTTTATCCAGCATTGCGATGACATGACCCAGCATTATGACTAGAGTTACGAGAAAGAAGTCAATTATATGGCAGGTGCCCTGAGAGGGCCAGCTCGTGAATGTTTGGAAGAATGTGGCCATGGAACGGAGTGGACCCGCTGTGCATTGCGCACTAAATATGCTTACGGGATACCGATTGCACCGATGGACTCGTGCGTTGCATGCTATCCTGAATCTGCCGTAGTCAGTGTTTAGCCCGATGCAAAGCGAAAACCCATGAGCAGAGCGGATGTGTGTGCCATCTCCGGCCAGGAAGTACGTCCGAAGACGGAAGACCACTATGAGGATCAACATCATCGTAGGGTCGATCAGCATCAGCCAACACCGGGGCAAGCTTCTACAGCACACAGTTCCGTGATGCTGCCGGATAGGCTGCGACCTTTAACTCTGCGGGAGAACTGGCCACCAACTAAGCCGCCATAGAGAGAACGCGTGGAAAAGTCCGGTGAATACAACTGTAGCAGTTATGGGCGTTTCACACATGAACTCGGCCAGTTTCCTTGCCACGCAACACCCCGGTCGTGGGGCCGCCGTAGTTGCTATAGTAGGCAAGGACTTGCATTGGCTGCTGTGAAACCTCGTATGCCTAGCTGTCATCCAGCACGGCGGGAGGATTGCGCCGATTGGCGGGGTGGCTTGATCTGCAGACCACCAGCATCTGTGCGACTACCAGCATCTGTGCGAACCAGCAGAATCCTGGTAAAAGTGCAGAAGAAGACTAGTGTCCCTATGCTCGTCAGCAAAATCCCCGTGCTTGTGAAAGCACCGATGGCAGTTATAATGCTGGCGCAGAGGAGATCTACACATCGTTGGAATCACCAGGGTTAGAAAGAGGCTGACGCAACAATCTGCAGAATGCTGCAGCTGGAAACAGAGCTTCCGCCTTTGCTTATTAGGTTTGCTGTCGGTACATATAAGGGCCAGACATACTGGCACTTGTGGGATCAGAAGAGCCGGAGACACGGAATCTTTGGCCAACGTTGGAAATCGGTCGGTAAGCATCACGGCAGAGGCAAGGACCACCGTACCCACCGTAGTCGCCACAAGCCCTAGCGGAGGATCGAGTCCAGGCAGGCCAGGTGTGGAGTCCTGCCACGGATATTAGCAAACCCGTGCTGTCTGTAGCTGTGGGTAAGTCAGACCATAGAAATTCTATGCCATAACCTAGCGAAGTTATGCTGTCTGTTGCTCCGTGTGCAAGCACGGTATCGATGGATCAATCGTGGTCACCGTGGTATGTTTACGCGTATGTTTACATGCATTTCTCCCCTATGCTGAAGCATGGGTTTAGATGCAAGGCTGGTGCGCAAGGGACTAGTTATTCTACCAATGTACTTGGCAAATTTTGTCTACTTGCAGTACTCTCGTAGATACAGACGGCCTCATCTGCGCACACAACAGCTGCTCACACTTACATTGCTCTACGCGGACCGATAATTGCAGGTAGTTCTGGTGGCCCATCTATGGATCTGTGTCGTACGAACAACGCAGGGCGACTCGGCGAACAGACGACGATGTAGGCGGGATCACGGAGGAGGAGTCACGCCCTCCGTCCGTAAAATGTAGCCGCTCGCATTTTGGTAGCTGAAGGAGTATTCCAGCACCACTGCAATTGTTTAGAGAAGTGGCGACCCCTCTCCGCCTTAGATTGCATGTTCGTGCAGAGCCACTCGAGAAGTCATGTTCATTACATGGTTCTTGTCACTTTTGTCCAGAAGGATATAGA